TCACTGGCATTTCCACATGATCTTCCTCCTTCCAGTATAGTTAGAGTTGTTTTATAATAATTAAAATAAATCTCAAATATGTGTTTGTTAAATATTACCGGTAACATAATTTGGCTGGGAAAAACTATTATGTACTGTGAAATCCTGGAAATTTGTTGGTTAATGTGTATGAGCCGGTGAAGCAAATATTGTGAATTACTGTGTCTGCATGTATTAATCAAACAATATACATATCTGAAACCTGTAGTGTTTTTAAAAAAAAAAATGTTTCTGTTAAGAAGTGAGTGCTTTGAGAATTCCTTTGGAACAATGGTAGATTGTTAAAAATGGTAACAAACACATTAAACAAAGAAATAAAATTGCCATTGTTCTTAACAATAGATATAAAAGCACTAAACAAACATTTGCATAAGTCATGCTGACCTGGCAGTTTGTTGAGAATACAGAATTGATCAGAAAATGCTCAAGGCCATTTGTCAAAGAAATTTTTGAAAAACTATATGAGTTGTTAAATTTGTAATGATTTCTATTCTTACAGCAGGTTGTGTTCTATAAAAGAACATACAATAGATTGATAGCCAGTGTCAACAGGTGTTCTCATACACAGGTTGCTACAAACATAAATCTTTATGCTATAATGAAACTATAAAGCAAGACCAATTATGTATAAGATTTAGAAAAGAAAAAGAAAAACTACTTAGTAAAAAAATAGTAATAACAAATTAAAGAGGAGAAATACTTAATGAATGTATCTGAGTTGTGTTAACATTTCATTATTTATGTACGTATATGTTTGCAACACAGCGTCCTAGAAACTATTGTTATTCTTTGTCCAGGCAATTAGTTTATTATTTATTTGAATTCTGTTGTATAGTTGGTTGGTTCCAGCCATTTGGTAACTTACAAAACTGACTGGTGAAAGCAACAAGAAAAACACCAGCTCAATTTGGTAAGTTATCAAATAGTGGGATGCAACAGATTTCACTATTTTAGATGAAAATTTGTGAAGTACACTATGAATTAATAATATAGCAAAGATCTTTAGCATAAAGCAGCTCTTACTACCCCTACCTAATAAAGATAGAAGTACGCAAAATAGATCAGGGAAAAAAATTAAAATGTGTTTTTATAAAATCTTCCTAAATATCAAAAACAATATACATGTATATATATATATATACGTTCATATATGTTCAAATCGATAGAGTTTCTAAATTCTGTTACTTACTTTTATGAATTCCTCAATTTTCTGTATTCCTTTTTCCACTGTGAATTGTTCACATTTCATCCACTGAATATTTTTAATGTCATACTCAGGCCATTCAGAATAAAGCAGACTATCATAGTCTCTTATAGTAGTCGATTCAGGTCTACTGCCAGTCTGTTTCAATCCCATCTCAGTAATTAAACGCCTCCTGGCATTACTGATCACTCTATCCACCAGTGCATGAGCCTGGTGTTCTAAGTCACCCTCCATATCACCCATTTTATATTCAACGTTTTGTTTTCACCTATAAACATAAAAAATAACGATTATGAGGCAAGATTGCAGATATACACTGAAAGCAGATGAGTACCCGATGACAACGGTGAATTGCGAAGCTTATCTACCAGTTGCAGTGTACGACACATGGAAATGACGACAACGGTCAGACTATACCTGTTCCATGGTGCATAGCCATGTTATTTGTCTTGTTGAGATGCGTGTACATGGTTTGCAAGGTTGGAACAATGTCTTGTCTAAGCGAGAGGTCGAACAGTTTAGTTGATAGTGTCTCAGTCCTCATCCCCGTTGAAAAGGTTTGGAACATTGTCCGACTGTGTCTATACCTTGGTTGCTTAGCACGTCAAATAAACCAAACAAAGCGCAATGATACAACGGCGTAATCGATCGAAGTCGGACAAGCATTGTTACCTTTGAGAAGCGTACTAGACAGAAAAATACCCGACTAGTCCTAGTACACAATTTTTGACTCCTTCGAAACTGTTTAAATTTGTGCAATAACATTTTTGAAAATCGTAGATATTTTTAGAAGCAGATACCTTACCATTAATTTCAATCACAACGTATGCAACACGGAAGTCGTCACTCTTTATCAAAATTATGTTTTCATTCGTTGCTGTTGACAACAATAGTACGTTTGCTGTTTCTTTACTCCAATATCCACTTTGCCTTTTCACAGATAAAGAAGCAATCCATTCGTCATTTTGCGTGTGTGTGAAATAGAAAATTTTACATGTGAATTAAACAAAAAAAAATTGATGTGTTATTACTTGTATCGAGCACAAACGCCAATATCTTTCAACAACCAATGATATGACAGGTAACATCATGCTAAGTCAAGACCAGCTATTTAAAATAACGAATGTAATTGGTCACATATGAAAGGTCAAAGGTAGTGTTCAAAATGGCGGGTGAAAATGATTCAAAGGTAGATATTGCCGTGGATTTATCTAAATGGAGGCCACTTGTTCGTCATTTCATTGATCAGGTTAGTAAATCTCATTGTGTTATAACTAAGAATTATACTTTTATTTTCAAAATTTAATTTTTTAATCGAGTCATTTACTACACGTGTTGATTCGTGTTCTGAATCTTCTTTAAAGGGACTTGCAGATTTACACTTTCAAAATATAGGGGGTGGGGTGGGGGGGTG